AAGTATAGGCTAATAAGAACTCTTATCAGCCGAATACTCATACATACAAAGACTTCAATCCAACATTAAGAAAGAGTTTTCAAGACTTTTATCAATTAATCTTCCAGTTTCACGTGTACCATGCTTAATTTCAGGGTTGTTTCCTTCTACCCAATAAGCTAAGAATCAACTCAAATATACTATGTTCTTACTTTAGTTACCAAAATAATGCTCATGGAGATACTAAACGACATTAGAATTCAAGTTTCAGAAAAAAAGTGTTTATTCTTTACTAGATCACCAAGAAATGTATACATCAACATTGAACTACATATGTGTAGGGGAAATAGGGGTGTCAATGGACCAGGTTTGGGTTGGACCCCGTCCAAATCAAACTCAATTTGAATGGGTTGGAAGGACCAATAAGACATATTGAATTAGACAAGTCCAGACTTAATGGTCCAAAGTATTTATTGGATTGGACTGGACCTGGTCCATGTTTAATGAATTTATATTGGACTGGGTTGGATTGAACCAATATCTAGTCCATTAACAGAAAATAAGAGTGGGTGTTAATGGACCAGGTTTGAGTTGGACCCAATCTAAATTAAAAACAATTTGAACAGATTGGACAGTCCAGACATTGAATAGGACCAGTCTAGAATGGTCTAAAGTATTCACTGGATTGGATTGGACCTGGTTCATCTGTAATGGACTCATATTGGACAGGTTGGGTTGGACCAATATCCAGTCCATTGACAGCCCTATATATGTGCTCTTCAAACATAAGATCATTGTTTAAGTTTACAACCAGCTAATAAGGGATTTGAAGTTTATTCACATACAAGCTTCTCACAATTTCTCATTTAAGAATTCCTACTTTACATCCAAATGATGCAACAAATTGCTTCATAGTTGCAATGGCATATATCAAATTTCTTATGAGGTGTAAATCTCTAAATCTGAGTTCACATAATCCACTAAATGAGGCTTGCTGAAATTTATAATTAAAAACTATATATATATATATATATATATATATATATATATATATATATATATTATCAGAAACGATAACTTTCATTAGAGATAAATTAACCTGAAATACAGAATTCAACCCTTATTAGAAAAGTTTGATTCAATAAACATCAAACATTACAGCACTGCCCAAAACAGACTCTCCCTTACAGTCCCTTGTTTTAATTGTAGTTTAATATAATTAAAAACTATATTAAACCGATGCAGGACAAATCCACATTTGCAGCAGCAGCCAAGACAAACCTAGAGGCTTAGGGTCTGTTTGATTGCTGAGAAAGGAATGAGAAAAGGGAATATTCCCGAATTATTCTTCCTATCTTGTGTTTGTTTACTGGTAAACAGTGTTTTGGGATGAGAAACAAGAGGGACGYGGGATCCCAAAATTAAGTGAGTGGGGTCGCACCAAAACAGTGCGACCCCGGTGAGAAAAGAAAAAGCTAAGAAAATTTCTCGGGCAATTGCTGGAGGAGCTCTGAAGACCAACATTACCACCCTCGGTCCTCTTGTCCTCCCAATTAGTGAGCAGCTTCTCTTCTTTG